TATACGATTTCGATAAAATTTAATTCGTAATTCAAGAGTGGTTAGAAAACTTTATGTTCCAAAAATTATGCTTCTCTGATGAAAAAAATGGATAAGAATTAAGGTGCCAATCAAAAATAGTTAATGCATAGTTAAGCTGTAATAAGCTAATACATCAATTAAACTGTTAATATCTGTATGCAACCTGTTCAATTAGAATTTCTTTTGACACTCACACCTCTCACCCTTTTTTCTACTGCTGTAAATTAATTCGTTTTGGCACAGAAAGGATTTCGGCTTAAAAATCGTCTTCTTGCTCAAGTAAGCATACATACATACATACATACGCACTTACTTGTTCTCACACACGCAACTGTATTCTATTTTTAAATTTTTACGCTCTCAACTTTGTGCGAGCGCGCTGAGAGCGAGAGAGGATAGAAGAAGATAGAGAGATCGTTCGTCAGTGGTTAGAGAGGGATGGGGATGTGTCGCGTAACCGAAAAATGTGACGCGTAACCGAGAAATGTGACGCGTAACCGAGAAATGTGACGCGTAACCGAGAAATGTGACGCGTAACCAAAAAAAATGTGACGCAAAATTTTTTCCAACGCCGATAAAGAAGTTTCACTTCAAAAAAAATAATAATACAAATAATAATAATCGCAAACCATATAATGGGAAACAAAAACTGAATAATATACAAAGTCACCACAGTGCACTGTGGAAAGCTAGGACACATGAAAAATGATTGTTATGGCTATAAAAGACGAAGCCAGGCTTCGCGTTCATACTAAAAAGTGTAAATAAAACAAATAATAATTTAACGCGAACGTGAACTTTATTCTTGACACGGGTGCTACTGACCACCTCATAAACGATGAGGCTTTATTTGTGGACCATGCTGACCTGGAAACTCTGATAAAGATTGCCGTTGCCAAGCATGGAGAGTATATCTTTGCAACAAAGCGTGGAATCGTCCGTCTGAAAAACGACTATCAGATAACGCTGGAAGACGTACTCTACTGCGGAGAAGTTGCAGAAAATCTGATCTCGGTAATACGACTACAAGAGGCTGGAGTGGCAGTCGTGTTCGACGAAAATGGAATAAAGTTACTAAAAAATTGTGTTACTATTGCTGAAAACTCAGGTACGTACAATATGCCAGTTATTGAATTCAACCCGCATCCGTCCCTTAAAATCTGTAACATATTAGCTCCTATGTATCAATTTGATACAGGTTTAAAAAACATGCTTAAATTAAGTGAAATTAAAAAAGAAACCAATTTTTTATATATTTATTATGAACGTTTGTTTATTTTGAACAAAAAATGCTTTATATGAATTTTTTAAAGACAAAACTTGAGCCAAAATCACAAATCCATATAAGAATCCATTTCGCCTAAGTCTGAATCTTAAGTTAAAGTTTGTATCAAATTGATACAAAGAACGGATGCGGGTTAAAGCATATAATGTTAATACCAAAAATAAGAAATTATATAAATTATGGCACGAAAGGTTGGGACATGTAAGCAAAGGTAAAATGTTACAAATAAAATAAACAATTTATTTAGTGATAATAGTCCCCCTGATAGTGTTAATCCTACCGACGATATATGTGAAGCTGGTTTGAACGGGATACAGGCCAGATTACGATTTGATAAATATAAAATAAAGACCATATAAATAGAGCTTTTTATGTTTGTTATGTATAATCCCTGCAGTTCTGGCTGTCACCTGGTGACTCGTGTCATTTAAGCAATCGTGTGTGTAGGAAAGAAAAAGGGATATTCCTAAGTTTCCCTCTCTTTCTCGCTCTTATAATACGAATCGTTGCTTGCATCCGACGGCGACCCGACTCCTAATTTGTTTTCCTTTTTCTTATTGCACTGTTGTCATTCTCCGTTAGAAACAAAAAATTGCTTACCGATGGAAAATACGGCTGAGGGGCGCTCGACTTATGTGTACTCTTTTGATGTTAAAGTTCTTCAAATATTAACCCTCTAAGACTACTTTCCAAAATAGTAGAAAAAAAGTTTCCAAATAATTTTTTTTAATTGAATTAATGCTTCTAAGCTCAAATATGTGCTTAGAAATACAGTCGAATCCCGATAATTCGTACCCCGCTAAATCGAAAATCGCGATAATTCGTAAAAAATTCTGTCCCCTTGAAAAAAACTCGTTAATTCGTAAAAATTCCATACATTTTGGTCCCCTCGTTAATTCGTAGTATTTTGCGCAAAGCAGGGAATATTGAACCTCTTATAAATCGTAATTTTGTTTCGTAACCTCTTATAAATCGTAATGCGATGCGAAATTTTTTCAGTTAAAGCACCGTTAGATTTTACAGACAGCTATTCCGCCTTTATGTCGCCTATGCATTATGAATTTTGTGTTTCTCTCGCTGTTTTCGTTTAGTTTGCTGATTTTTTTCGGAGAGTAACAGCGTTCTGTGAAAATGTCACAAAAACGTACGCATAGACGTTATCAAACGCGCAAAAACAAAACATTATTTTAGCGATTGACAATGGAACAAAAAAAATTGAGGTGGCAAAACAATTCGATGTCGCTCCATCAACAATAACATCAATTCTACAGAAAAAAGAGTTTATAATGCAAGCATCCCCTAGTAGTAAACTGAAACGACAGAAACATGCTGAATACCCGAATATAGAAAAGTCTCTACTTTTGTGGCTTACACAATGCCGTCAAAGTAATGTTCCCATTGCAATTATTATAATATTATGTTATTGTTTAATTTTTCTTTAATATGAAAACGTACAAATGAATGTTAAATTATGTTTGTTTAATTTTAATAAAGCTAAATACATATGTAAACATGATGAGAAATGTAAAAACCCCGTTTATTCAAATTTTTCATTTTTGAGCCCCGTTAAATAGAAATCTCGATAAATCGAATTCCCGTCTAATTCGTAAAAAAAGTGATCCCCTTGCCATTTCGAATTATCAGGACTCGACTGTAGCATAAAATTTTTGGTTCACCTGTAAGCTGGGAAAAAAGGTAAGCGGGCCTGAAGGCACGCTTGGGGCTTTGAGTGAAAAAAAAAACATTTTCGATAATGAAGATTTATTCGCTGTGCAGCATAAATGCAGATTGCATTTCGTGCATATGCATTGCAACATCTTTTTCCACTGTTTCGATCCAACCAATGTGGGTAATGGTTTAGCTGGTCAAACCGCAAGTCCGATATTGGATGCTTTGTTTTTTGACCATGTTTGAGCTCATGCTGAAAAGGTCGATGAGAGAGTGGAGACTGCTTTTCCCGTTCTTTCGGCAAAAATGGGGAACTTATTGTTCGTCCTGACTGAGAGGATGGAGACTGGTTTGCCCATCGCGGTGAAGATGCATTGACTGGACGATCCGGAAAGTTTTTGTTTTTATAAGTCACCAGCCCTGCGGCTAGTGTTTCGCGAAAGTCTGGGAGTGCAAGTAGTTTTTTTTTGCTTTCGTTCTCTGTGTGGATACGTCTGTGTAAAATATAGGCATTGGTGGCTGCCATATCAATTAGGTGATAAAAAATTCGTGTTGCGGCATCCCGAGTTTTTGCTCTGATATGATACCGTCCCATTAGGCCGTCCATGAGATCTACGCCGCCCATGTGAGCGTTGTACTCATGCACAATTTGGGGACAATCAACTAAAATGTGTCGCTTAGCTTTTCTGTCAAAACGAGCAGCCTTTGCAGTTCCTTCACGAGGGTTTGTCTTTTCAAATGGCTTAACACCCACATAGGTGGACAAAAAGCGAACAGGCTTGCTGTCTTTCCAGAGTACATTGGTTATGTCAACACCATATGAGCACCATTGTTGATTGCAATATCGTTAGGTAGCTTGCAATTGGGGATACGGTTTCCTCGTACCGTGCCAAGGCTATAAATACCTATCGCTCTTAGATAAACCATCAAAGGCAGAGATGTATAAAAATTATCGAAGTAAACGATGTGATTCTTAAATCGTTGTACGGTTTGTGTTAAGCGCACTACAATGTTGGCCGAAGCACCAAGATTCGGGTGACCAGGTAAGACCACATTATTGTGCTGCACATTTGCTCGTCAACACAAAGGCGGGCATACTTTGGCACCAAGTCAAAGCGTTTGTTGAGACATCCTACAAATTTTCGCGTACGGAACAAAGGATCGTAGCCTGGTTCACCCTTTTTGATCCGTTCGCGCTCATCACGTAGCGACAAGTACTTTTTGATTGACTCGAACCTGCTTCGGGTCATGCAGGTTTTTATAGGTCCGAGCGCGTTTTGGACATGAACATCAAAATACCTATGTAATGGTGCATCTTATCAGTGTTACTTTTGAACTTATCCCTGCAGTTCCAAAATAGCTTTTTCCTATATGAAATCCGCGAGGAAGCACCGAGGAACCGGGGTACGAAGGTATGCCCGCACCGAGGAATTGCGCGAGGAATTTTGTATGGGATTCAAGTTTTCTTCATAGGTGCAGCTCTCGATGAACTTTTTGCCCGTTTCATCGAACGATTCCTTGGTGCCTTATACGAATTTTGTATGGGAAAAAAATTGTATAAGGCATAGAGGAATTCGTAGCGGAAGTGGAAGCGGGGTTTTCCTCGAAAGCTTTTGCGAGGATGCCCTTTGGGAATTCGTCGATGAATTTTTAAACAATTTCCTATATGAATTCCCCAATACATTTTTTTGAAAGTCATACCTATTTTCATAAGAGGAATGACTAAAAAAAACACATTTTTAATACAGTTTTTAAACATTTTTCTTTAATTATAAATATTATTTATATGACTATTATTATTCTTATTATTATTATTTTACATTTTAATTATTGTTGTTATTATTATTATAAATATTATTATTTTCCTATTATTATTATATTACATTTTTATTATTATTTTATTATTATTATTATTTTATTATTATAATTTTACATTTTTATTATTAAAAAGTATTATTTAAATTTAAATTAATTTTAATATTTTTTTTGCAAATGCTATTTTTGGCGTTTTGCATCGCCTTTCTAATTATTTTTCGCCATCCTCAAGGGGAAATACCTCTTGTGAGACGTCTGAAAATATAAAAAGATATTTATTAAAATTGCTGCTTCGAATAATTTATTAAAATAAATGAAAAATATTGTTCATTTGTTTACCTTTTAAAATAGCAAAGAGGTTTGTAAAGTTTTTAAACCTCTTTTTCAAGTTTGTGCCGTCCAAATTAAAATTTGGCAGCAAGCCATCATCAATAATTTTTCGCAAAACTTTTGCGAAGTTATCCTTCCTCGCGAAGTTAGTTATTTTTGCTTTCTGTAATGATAAAAAGTTAAAATCTTTACTTTTGCAGTATAAAAAAACTTACGTAAAACTCCCGAAGCTCAGGTGTCATAGAGCTCTCGAAGAGCTCTATGTCGTCTTCCGTCTTAAGGGGGAAGGGAACCCCTGTCTCTACCGTTTTTTCTTCGACCTTCAATTTCATCTTAACCACTGCGGTGGTCTCCGCCAGCTTCTCGGCCAAAAGATCTATCTTGCGGTGCAAAGCCGCATTTTGCTCCGCAAGATAGATGTTTTGTTCTGAAATGGTAAATAAATTTATTTAGAAAGGATTATATATATTAATATATATAGCAATTAATACCTTTTAATGCGGAAAGTATCCTTCCTTCGCACAGGATCATTCTTTCTTCACATGACTCTGTTAAAAAATTTAAATAGTTAATCAAAAATTAAAAAAAAAAAAATCATGAAACTCACGAGATACGGATGGCTGATCTGTGAATAGTAAAATAATATTTTAGTATAAGTTTTGTATAATGGAATTAATACTCACCCCACTCGGAAAAGTCAATGCGGCGAATTTTTTTTGGTTGCTCTGACATTCTAAGGAAATAAAAAGAACATAATTAAAATCATTGTTTTATAAATTGATGCGTACAGTTAATGCAAAGAAAAACCCATAAGGCGTCGATTTGGCTTAAACTGCATTGGGCCCAGTTTAGAATTGGGCCCAGCTTACGATTGGGCCACTTTATTAACTGTACGCCGGCGCACATAAGAGGGATGTTTTTTTTAAGCACAATTCTATTTCACTTTGTTTACTTTTTAAAAGCCCTGCAGCGCCTTATGGTTTTTTAATAACTAAAAAAAAGGTCTTAAACATAATTCAAGCACTTACCTGGTTTTCTTTTAGCAAAAGCACTTCACAATTAAATCACTTTTATTTCACAATGCAAGATCCAGCACAACCGCTTCGGTGACGAACAGCAAAAGAATGACGCAGGTCAGTTTTTTTTTCTTAATTTGCGTCGTCCCTTTTGTTTCGTCTGAGACTTTTTGGCGCGTGCCTTGCTGGCATACCCTTTAGATTTAAAGTCATACTCGACTATATATGCAACGCGAATTAATAAAAGGGCAAGATTCTTAATACTAATATTGGAAAACTAATTAGTCGAATTATAAAACCATTTAACAAATGTCTTTTTTTTAAATAAAAAAATTAGTTAATATTGATTTATAATTTGACTAACAAATTTAATTTAAATATTATTCCCAGACAATTATATTTATTTTAAGTAAATTATGTTAAAAAACTTTAAAACCTAAAAGTATACATAAGCCGAGCATGCCTCAGCCGTGGTTCCCACCGAAAACCCAAATTTGTGTTTCTAACTGTAAATGCATTCCAATGGCAACAATGCAATGAGAGAAACGAAAAAATAGAAGACAAATTTGGTGTCGGGCCGCCGTCGTTGCCAAGCAACGACATCGTATTCGAAGAGTGAGAAAGAGGGGGAAACTTAGGAATATCCCTTTCCCTTTCCTACACACATGATTGGTAATTGCAAAAATTCACATGTGAACAGCCAGAACTGCAGGGATTGTTAATATCATCGTTCAAAGCTGCACACATGGTTTCGTCGACGATCATATTCATGATTTCCGCATTGAAGAAATAGCAAAAGAGCTCTAGAGGAGTTTCGAGCTCCTTTATTTCTGATGGCAGCGAAAAATCTCCTCGAAATGCTACATTGTTAACATGCAACTGCATACATTTCTCTCGCCACAGAATCTTACTCGAATCTTTTGTTATTGATTCAATACCTGTGTAAACAAAACTAATTGTACACTAAAATACCAGTAGCAATTAAATTTGGCTTACCAGCTCCATTGAACCCACCAGCAGTTGGCGGAGATGCGCACGCCGAATCTTCACTGATTGGTAATGGTGATCGCGGCCTTTTCGCAGCTTTCTAGGATGTCTCAGCTTTCTGTGCATTGTTTTGGACATTTTCAACATTACTCTCAATAAATGATATAGTCTCCGCATCCTCTAATGCAGTATTTAGAGCCTCCATTATATCAATGTCATCGTCCTCGTCGTCACTTGAGCTTAACACTTCCTCATCCGACGGAACTGAGTCAAATATCTTGAGCAACTGCTCATCTGTCAAGTCGGACAGCTTATACCGAACCCGGTTTGCCATTTTCTATAATATTTATAATTCTATTAAGAAAAATCACTCCATCAACAAAAAAAAAAAAACACATAAATTGCAATCATTTGTAAATTTTTCAGCTGGCAATGAAAGTTGTCTTGGATCCCCAAACGTGCCTCAAGGCACGTATCGCTATTTCGCTGCCACAACGCATGTCTTTTATAAATTTGCAAATCTGCAACTTAATTTTAATAGTAAATAAACTTACCTTTTCAGAAAAAAATTATGAGCTGGATAGGTGTAATGTATTAAATATTATTTACACAGCAAAACACAACTTATAGCAGACCAAATTTTTCGCGCAAAAAAACACATTGTCTGTGTTTACGTAAAGATAAGTCCCGTTAAAAGCTTCGAAAAGTTTTCAAAGCTGATACTCATAATTTTGTGTGCTTTTTATCAACCGCCAAAAATTATTTAACCGATTAAAAAGTTGTTAGTTTATTTTTTAGGGCCAAAAACACAATACGTGCCTTCAGGCAGGCTTACGTCTTAGAGGGTTAAATATAACATATAATATATTATATATATTCAACATTATATAAATTATTAAACCAAGATAACCATAACACAACATTGATTGCAAATATAGATATAATATGACTCGCGTGTCATTTATGGTCGGTTATACCCAAAAAAGAAGGGTATACTAAAAGGGTGAAAAATAAAATTCGACTGCTCATTCTTTTGCGTTGTGCGTTGACAATTAGTTGTGAAATTACTTAATTTGTGCAACGGGAAGCGGAAATGCTTAATAATCATGTAAGTGTCGTTAATATTACAAAAAATTTTTACTACAAACTTATTTAAATCTTTTTAGGATTCAGCCATAGATATGGATTTCCGATAAATTCGTTAGAAAAATAAGTTTGCTCTAAATTAAAAAAGTAATATATAATATGTAATAACGAAAATATTTTTTTTACCATAGATGGACGCAAAACAGCCGATGTCTTGCAAATACTCCACATGGTAGACAAAAACTTTCGAATTTCATATATTAAGTTTGCTATCTCTTATGTTACAAAATAAGGTATTTTATAAAAAAAAAAAAATATATATATATATATTGTTTTTCATATGAATTTGGGGATTAAATTTTGAACATTGGGATATATGATTTTCCTAAGGGCGATCCTCGAGGAAAACCCCGCTTCCACTTCCGCTACGAATTCCTCTATGCCTTATACGAATTTTTTCCATACAAAATTCGTATAAGGCACCGAGGAATGGTTCGATGAAACGGCCAAAAAGTTTATCGAGAGCTGCACCTATGAAGAAAACTTGAATCCCATACGAAATTCCTCGTGCAATTCCTCGGTGCGGCCTAGCTCTCGTACCCCGGTTCCTCGCGGATTTCAAATAGGAAAAAGCTATTTTGGAACTGCAGGGCATATACACCCTGCAGTTCCAAAATTGCTTTGTCGTCGATGAAGTGTGCGAAGCCGCACCGACGACAGCGGGGGTAGCAACCGTTGCCGCAGCGACACAATTTCATAGAGACATGTCGCTCTCGATGAACTTTTTGTCCGTTTCATCGAACGAGTCGTCGGTGGCTTATACGAATTTTCTCCATACAAAATTCGTATTCGTATAATTATACGAATTTTGTATGGAGAAAATTCGTATAAGCCATCGTTGCTTTCGTAGCTGACGTGGAGGCGAAGTTTTCATCGATGGCTTTTGCGAGGATGCCCTTTCTGAAAACAGCAACGACTTTATGAATATGTCGTTGCTGCTTTCGTCGGTGGCTTTTTAAAGAATGTCCTATATGAATTCACCAAACCATTTTTTTGGAAAGTCATACCTATTTTCATAAGAATGACTAAAAAAAAACGTTTTTAATTCAGTTTTTAAACCTTAATTATTATTCTCATTTTTATTATTCTAATTATTAGTATTTCTATTATTTTATTATAATTATTATTATTATTTATTTATTATTATATATTTTAATTATTATTACTATTTTTATTATTATAATTATTATTATTGTAGACCAAAACACGTCTGGTTCGTTTCACGATATATTTTTTAATGATCTTCTACGTTTGTGTGGTATGAGCTTGTCTGCTCTGCAGTCAGCGCACATATTGCACATTTATCGATAAAATAAATACTCAATAATATAACTTACATAATACTTATATCTACTTATATACTACAATTCGGCCGTCCTGACAAAAAGGATCACCCGATTCTTGCGTGGAGTTTCAAATTTTAGTTGAACTTCTAAGGTTATATCTTTTTTTACAATTATTATTGAAGTTTACATCTGTACGTTTACTTTTAGGTTTCTTAATATTATTCTTATCATTATTAATTAAACCATCATTTAGTCTATTATTATCATTTAAATTGTTTAAGTTTTCTGAACTTGAACATACATTTTCCGTATCATTATTATCTAAATTTTCATCAATTTCTAAAGTATTATTAGTTTCTTCTAAAACATTAGGGCATACATTTTCTGAATTATTTTTATTAAACCACGGCTTGATGTTTTGTACAGACCAAATGCCTTTGTACGGTATCTGTGTTTGTTGGAATCCGTCGACATCTATTAACAGAAAACGATCATTCTCTAATATTTTTGATATTTTATATGGACCCTTAAACTTCGGTATTAATTTGCGTGGTACACCTATGCTACAATCATAATTTTTTATTACTACGTAGTCACCTAATTTGTATTTTATTGGATTTTTCCTGCGTGAATTAACATATTTTTTATTGTATTCTTGAGCTAACTTTTCATTTTCATGTGCTTTATCTCTGATTTCTAATAAGTTTCTACTAATATTTTCAGGTTCCATAATTGTTTCTTTAATGCTATCCATAACTTTACCTTTTTGACTGATACCAAATAACATAACGCTAGGGTGTTCGTTTATCATTCTATGTTTTGTATTATTAAGAGAAAATTCCACAGTTTCAATGACTTTGTCCCAACTAATATTTTTGTCAGAGTCACTGAGTTTGGCAATCATTGGGCCTAAATTCCTATTCACTCTTTCTACTTGTCCGTTAGCTTGCGGTGAACCTGTAGCTATCCTAATGTGTTGAATGTCATTTTCTTTCAAAAACTGTTCGAACTCACCTGAAGTAAAAGCTGTTCCTCTGTCTGAAACAATAATCTTTGGTCTGCTATAATAACGGAAATATTCTCCTAACGCGGTAATTAGTAGCTGTAGTTTTCGTCGGATATAA